ACGCCGATGGGGCTGCGCAGCGGAGAGCTGCAGGACAGGTAGGCGGGCCTGGCCCTGGGGCATCCGCGTGGCTCCGCGGCTGTCGAGTGTTTGTTTTCCCGAGGGCTGGGAAGGAGCACCTGCCGTGCGGGTGTCGCCGAGCCCCGAACTAACGCTGTTGGGCGCCCTTGTGCCCCGTCCCACCGCAGGTTCTGGCTCGTCATCAGGGAGGACGGACACATGGTGACAGCTCGCCAGGAGCCGCGGCTCGTCCTTGTTTCCGCCAACTGTGATGACGGGCACTTGGTCTTGGAGGCCAGGGACATGGAGAGGATAAGCGTGCCTGTAAAGCTCCCCGAGAAAAACCCCGTCCGAAACTGCAGGTACTGAAGAAGGCTTTTTTTTTTTCACCCCCTTCCCTTTCTCTCAGCACTGTCTTTCTCATGTGCTTTTCAAGATTGTGTGAGGCTTCACATTTTCTTATGCAGAAATTGGAGTGTAAAAGTTCAGTACCTCTGTGTCTTTTCTCTGCGGGTATTTCTCAGCGTCTGCTTAAGGGAGATAGACTTCAAACCAGAGCCTGTACTGACAAGACAAGGCATAGTGGTGTTACTAGGTTTAGATGAGCTATTAGGAAGAAGTTCTTCACTGTGCAGGTGGTGAGGCACTGGCACAGGTTGCCCGGAGGAGATGTAGATGCCCCATCCCTAGAAGTGTTCAAGGCCAGGTTGGATGGGGCTCTGAACACCTTGGAAGGTGCCCCAGTTTATGCTAGGGGAGTTGTCCTAGGTGGTCTTCAAGGTCGCTTCTAATCCAGACTGTTCTGTAATGTGAAATCCTCTGCCATGCGTTACACAGGAGGCCAGGAATGGTCATAACAAAAGCTCTGCTTTTATTCTGCTAAACACTGATGAAAACAAATCTTAGGAAAAGATGACACAATATCAAAGACTATGCATTACACATCTGCCAAATGAACTGTGATTTTCTGTATTCATAGAATGTCATGTTTGCTCATTTGTTTTTACTTCTAGTGTTTTTGCTCTTGCTTGAGTGAGCAGCTGCATCTCAGAGCCTCAGCTCATGCACTTGGGTGTTTCTTGATCACAACTACTGTATGCATCAGCATTTTTTATGCACACTGCCCATTCAGAGCTGGTGAGATGTAGGGGTTTAGATTCCCTGACCCTTGTCTTTAGGCATTTAACTGAGGTGCCTCAGTTAAAAACTTGGTAGTCAAAGGCTCATCCTGAGGTCACAATGGAAACACTAGCATCCCAGAGACTTAGGGCATTCCCTATAGGTGCTACCCCAAAGGAGTTTCAGGTGGATGGGTTACAAAGAGTGATTTAGGTGTGTGCCTAGAGTTTTGTTGTATGAGTGCAGGCCTAATTATTTTATCTATGTATAGAAAGCCATGCTGGAAAACTGCCAACAGGAAGAGGAAAACCTTTTCTTTGGTAAAATGTCAATTCATATCTAAGTGTTTAGAAACTGTAAATGCTGTGAAGCCCTACAAACATACTGTAAGTGTTTGTTCTTTGGATAGCAGAGATGGTTATGCACCAGATACTGTAGTTGTAACTAAAGGAGTACTGCCAAGGAACTGCATTTGCTTGCTTTTAGCATAAGTCTGTTGCTGTGGAAACCCTTGATCAGCATAGCTCAGTATCACTGTTTATACAAGGCAGGTGCAAGTTCCAAGTGGTAGCATTTCTCCTGGAGAAGTGGAACAGACATCTACAAACCTGTGCATAATGCCTATGTGTTAGCCAACGGCACATGCACTGCAAAACCATGCAGTTTGTGAGATGTCATTTTTCTAAAATTTGTTGTGTCACTAGAAGAATATTTAAATAGCCTAATACATTGCAGTAATGAAAAGTTAGTTTGGATTTCTTGGATTTTCCAGTTTTAAAGCTCAGTGATTTGTTCTTCCAGTTAGTCTTTTTTTTGTTTTTTCTTTCTTTGCCTTAATAAATTTGCCCTCAGTTGGGTTCCCCTGGGAGCTCATGCCCGGTAAGCTGGAGCTAAAGCAGTGCCTTAGTGCATCTGGCTGCATACAGCCGTGCATGTGCTGATATTGAAAACTGCTGAGTCCCCTTGCAAATTTTATATAGGTATTTAAAAATCTTGTGCTTGGGAGGGTCAAATATAGGAGCAAAGCCGTTGTATAGGTACAGTTTCTGCTTGTGCAGATGCTAGAGTGTTTCCCTCTGGCTAGAAAACCTCATGCTCTTTATCCCTGCCTTTTGTTAGTGTGTGTTGTAACACTTAAATTGTGTGATCTATTCCCATGCATCCCTACAGCACTGAGTGCTTAGGATAGATCTGCTTCCTGAGTGGAAAGCAGTAGTGTTGGAAGCTGCAAGAGCCTTGCCTCTGTTGTCCTGCCAGTCAGAAGGCATGGAGGAACTGTGGGATGGAGGGAGGAGAAAGGCAGTTGGATGCTGTCTGGAGTAATGACACTTAAATCCTGCCTGTGTCACAGGGTGGACACAGGAATACCAGTAAATGGAGCAGGGATATTCATGGCAGCATCCTAATGATCACTCCTTCAGGTGACTAAAGAAGGGCTCCTAGGGGCTGGGCTCACTCTAGAAGAGCTGCATGGGCATCTCGATACTTCAAGCTGCCCAGGATTAGATTGCACAAGGAAATTGCAGTGCATTTGCCTCAAAGTGGCTACTTTGAAAAATGTAACAAAACTATTCAAGACTGGTGTTAAAGTTCATTAGAACATTGAGTTAAAGTTTTAGCTTTTCTTGCCAGGAAAATTTCCTTGCATAGACTTATTTGTATTCTACTGGCAGTGGCTTTTTGTGCCCCATGGACTTTGTTTCCAGTACAAATCTTTAACCCCTGTTAAGATACTGAGCTATTTTGTATGTGAAGTCTGAGCTGAAAAGTGTCACTCATCTCTGGCTAAAGTTTGACAGCGCTAAAATCTGAAGTTTCCTTAACAGTTAGGGACACTTTTAATTAATAACATTTATATGTATCAGGTGTGGTAACTAATCACATAATTTCAGACAATTGTTCATTTTCTGAAATTAGTTACCTTTCAGTTGATTTCTCAGTAGAAGTCATTTGGTGTAGCAGTCACATGCAAATGCAAGAGCAGGCCCTTTTTTTCCTCAAAGTAGGGCAAGTAGGTAGGTTTGTTACTGTCACTGATGGGGCAGTTAGCCCTGGGCACATTAACACTATTTCAGAGCTCATTCTTTCACCAGCTAGTATTGTCTGGTCATGTCCATGTTCCTCAGCTTTCAAAACACAGTTTGAAATCAAGGAGATCGCCCTTTGGGAATGATTTCTTTTCTATATATTGCTACCACTATTAAAATATGTTTTTTGCCTTCAGATAAGAAGCTTCCTTGAACCTTCATGTTACCAGGTAACTTGCTGATGTGTTGTGACTCTCCAGGGTGTTTGGACAGGATATCCAAGGCAGGGATTGTGGTGATGAAGTGGCTCAGTGGATCACCACCTTCCTGAACTCAGAGCCCTGTCGACTGGTGCACTTCGAGTCCTTCATGGCGCCAAGAAAGTCAAAGGACTCAATAGCCCTTTTCCGAAACACAGATGAGGTAAATGAATGCTCTTTTCTCAGAAGTGTGTCCTTTTAACCATTTACACCCACCCACCAGAACCTGCCCCTTCCATCTTTGGTCATTGAGCTGAGTTTAGCAAGGTATTTAGCTGTGCACTAAAACCATGTGAATATTATTTATTGTAAAGAGGTGACTTAATTTTTACTTCAAATTGGTTTTAAGCTATTGACCATTCACAGCTAAAGAGTCTGTAACTGATACTTGAAGAGGAACTACTACACTGCAGAATTCAGTAGCCTTTTGTGTCTCAGTAAATAAAAAAGAGTTACATTTTTAATGATGTTTTGAGGGTGTAATCTGTCAAAAAATTCCACTCCCTATCCCTTGTTAGGTATGGGAGTGTACTGATACAAGTTGTGTTACTTTGTATTTTGTTTAAAGGGTTGACGTTTAAACAGGCTGGTTATAGTTGTGGCCCTAGGAATTAAACTTCAAAGGACTTTTCAGAGGTTTTACCTCTTTCTGTGAAAGATGTGTGAAGGTATGATATTAAAGAAGTATTATGGAAAGGAGATGCTGTGTTCAGACATCCTTATATCATTTTAGCCACTGATGCCCTACTTTTTTATTTTAACAACTCTCTCAGGTGGAGATGCTTTGAGTTGTATCAAATGTAAGGTTTTTAAACTAATTAAAATTGTGAGTACCTTGCTTTAGTGATGTTATTATCTATAGGGCATCAGTGTCTTGCTTGTTGTTGCACAAAGAGAAGAAGGTATATTCAATTATAGACTTTTATAGATATGCATTTGTTATGTAAAGGCAGTGGCACCAATATAAACACAATGTTTCAGCAAAAGGAGCAAAAATCCTATCAGATTAGGAGGGGTGATATTCTGGAATTGTAGCAAGAATGAAAAGGCAGAATTCTTTGGATACTTATTTCAATGCTCCTCATTTTGTGGTTGAAAGGCATGTGCAAGAATGGAGTAAGAATAGTATAAGAGAAAGGCAGGAGGGTTATACACTAAAATTCTTACCAAAGTGTATCTTTTTTTTTTTTTTTGTAATTGTCCTGCCCTTATGTCTGTGGAATTTCTCTTCTTGGAGGTTTAGAGGTTTTTAAATACGGCTCATTGGCCCTGTTCGCTAATATGGCCCTCCCACTTCCCAGGCATCCCAGACTGATGAATGGACAGCTGTAATTGTGTATGGGCTGTTCTGGATGTGGAACTCCCTCTGGTGTTGCAATTTGAGCACATAGAAATTACCATGGTGACTGAAATAGAGAAGGGCGTGTTGTTTTCCTTGTTAACCTACTTTCAGGAAAATCAAAACTTGTTTGGAGCAGCCTAAAAGGCTGCTTGGTTTCAGTGCCTGTCTTTTGCCATGCAGTGACTTTCCTCCCATGCTCCTACAGCAACCTTAGGATTTGGTGGTGTTTGTTTCTGTAGGTTGCCTATCCTGACTGCAGCCCAGTCTTGATCATCTCCGAAGCTTCAATGGACGATTTAAATGCCAAGCTGGAAAAGAAAGTTAAGATACAGAACTTCAGGCCAAATATTCTTGTAACAGACTGCAGTGCTTTTGAGGAGGTAAAAAAACTGTCTTAAATGTCTTTTTGTAGGCTTGGTTGTGTTTCTTTATAATTCAGTTGATTTGTGTGATGATGCCAACAAGGGTGAGGAAAGCTGCTATTCTGTGATTTTTACAACTCAGTTTCGGAGAGATAAACTGTCAGCTTGCATTAATGCATGCAAAACATTGATGGAGAACACAGGTCTATAAATGATTATTTCTCAAATTGAGGAAGTTCCTAAAGCAGGAAGAGATTTTTATCTCCCAGGAGGGTTTGCAATAGAAAGCTTGTATAAATGAGAAGCAAAAATTTACTTCCTCTGAAAATTTATTTTCTGCAAAACTGTAGATTTACCAGAGGTCACAGATTGTCGCCCATACCGTAGGAATAAATTGCTTTAGGTTCAGTGCTCAGACAAGTGTATGTTGCAGGACAGGATTCGTTACTCTTGTGTCTCTCTTTTCAGATAGAATTATTAGTGTATCTTGAATTGGATAAATGCAGTGACAGTAGGGTTTTCATTATAGTACTGTAGTGTAACTATGCTCATTTTGAAGGTGGTAGTCAAGGTGATATCTGGAATGGTGCACCTTTTTGTGAATGACCGTGCCACTTCTGGAAAAGTAATTGCATGTGCTTGTGTCTAATATGTGCCTAATGTTTACTTCCCTCAGGACACCTGGGAGGATATTCTTATTGGTGATGTGGAGATGAAAGGGACTGTGTGTTGTGGCAGGTAAACACTGGAGACCTTTATTTTACATAGGAACAGAGAGGTTTATGATAAGAAGCCCTGACTGATTTGTCTGTCATTGCAGGTGTATTTTAACAACCGTTAATCCAGACACAGGGGTCATCGACAGGAAGGAGCCTTTGGAAACACTGAAAAGGTTATAAAAATATCACTGTTTCTTAGAGTGTGGGAGAGGATTTAGGCTGGACCCCAATAGATGTTAGGCTAGTGTTTTAAAAGAGATTTGAAATGTGTGTGGGATATAATAATGCAGTGTGAAGGTCTGTGTAATATTGGCTTCCAGTCTACTTCTTGCAATTCTATGTGATAAGAAAATTCAGCAAGTTCTTTCTTGCAAACTTCACATTCCCTATCTCTTTCATATCCGCTACAGTGAAAGCTTGGGGTATTTAAGGTATCTAAAGGTCTAACTTTGCTTCTTTTACTTTTCTTTCTATAAAGATTTTTGTATATATTAAACATGAATGAGTGAATACGGTCAGGTTTTTTTCCCTCCATTTGAACTGCTCGGTTCTCTTAACTACAACATTTATTTAGTTTTTACCCTAGTATGGTGGCCAAAACAAGGCATCATTATTTGCATGTCCTCTCTTTCATCACTGATATTTTGATGTGTACGTTTTGCTACGCTTATTCTAAAGAAAGGCTTTCTCTCTACAGTTACCGCTTATGTGACCCTTCTGAGAAACACATTTACAAAACCAGCCCTCTCTTTGGGAAATACTTCGCTGTTGACAGAACTGGAACGATTCAAGTTGGAGACCCTGTGTACAAGATGATCTGGGAATGAAGGAGACTTTGATCAGAAGATGCTTTTTTCCTTTGATATGTGGATTGTTTTTCCATGTACACAGTCACCAGCATAACCTTTTCTTCTTCCTTGCAATATTTGTTCTGCTTTTTAAGGTGCAGGAGGTTCTTTGAGGCTGTGAATTGTCAGTCATTTCAGATCATGGAATCTACTGGCATACCTGTAGTAACCACACCTTTGGTTTTCCTGGAGGCTGTGGTAGAAGAAACTGGCCCAAGACAGACTTTACAGCAGTACTGTGAGCATCACACCTCCTAAAATTTCATGTCAACTGCAATATTGGAATCCAAAATCATGTACAAGGGTTTGTATCATATGTTAGATACATTTAGTGCCGAGAAGAACCATAAAAACAGTCATGCCAAGCACAAAGTATGTTTGTCACAGAGCTGCCTTTACAAATGATCGTTGTATGCAGATGACAGGGTTCTGCTTCCCTCCTTTGGTCATAATCATCTTGCCCTGTCTATGTCCAGAGGTAGTTTTTAGCAGTGTTTCTTTCTTTGAAGTTGTTTCTTGAAGATTTTTAGTATCTCTTAAGATTGGAGCAATATCAGGGGGAGGATTCTGAGCTAAATGGATAATCAGGACTAGAGGTGGGGGTGCCAGGTAATGATGTGGCCTAGTTTAGTTTGTGACCTCTGCTGACAGTTTGAGCTGTCAGTTTTTTATCCAGTGAGGAATACTGTAACAGAGTCTGTAGAGTAGTGATACATTTGCTAACATAGTGGTAGAATTTCCAGTTTGAAGGAACTGGGTGTTCACTGTGTCAGAGGCCTGTGTCAAAGCCGTAGGGCAGTGATCTGATGTTGAGCCTACCCTGTTCAAGCTGGTGTCCAATATTGTAGGGCTCATGCACAGCTCATCTCTGGCTCAGTGGATCCCTTTGTTTAGAAAGTTAGTCTGCTAAGCAGATGTTTGGGATGCTGCAGTTTGAGTATGTTAACATCCTTACAGGTTATCCCCCTGTCGTGCTCCACTCTAACCAAAAAGTCAGCTGTTTGTAGGAAGCTGATAATTCTATTTTCTGCTTCACAAAACAAATAAGGGAGAAAACTAGCTGAATTACAGCAGTGTTATATTTACTTTAAATATTACATGATTTTTAATTACTTTTTTTAAAAAAGTAGCCTCCAGGACAAAAGCCAGCCATCTTTTGAATGTTTGTCTGCTTGTTTCTTTTTTATGGATTACTAAATTTGAAAAAAGTGTTGCCCTGTCCTAAAAGAGGAATCAAATTAAGTGTGAAGAAGGAAAAATATGATCCAATCATATGATCCAATCTGACATTTAGATTCTTTATTTTCTGTTGTAAGTATGAAAAGGGAATTTTTGATGCATGTTCACAACTCAGACCTGTAAAATGAAGGGCTGTTGAGCTTTGAGAAAGTGCAGGTGGATATATGTGGCAATCCTGAAGTAATCATGTCAGGGAGGTAGTTTTCTATTATTTGTGAACTCAGAGTTGCTCTGAATGCCATTTTGTCAGCAGGGTACTCTGTAAGTATTAAGTTTTCCTGGGATAGACAAGTTCCCAGTTTGAAGTGCATGTTGCATATTTGTGTATTGTTATGCCTGATGCAGCAACTAGTGGGAAGAAGTGAGAGAAAAAGCATCTTTTGAAAAGAAAAATAATTCTGAGGTTCACTCTTAAAAAGCACATGTTGGAAATTCTTAGTGTAAGAAGCTGAAAGTTTGTGGAATTCCTAATGGTATCATTGAGCACAGGCAGCCTGCTGGCCTGCCAAAGCAATTAGTTAAGAGTGTGTCTCTTCATTAAGTCAAAGAAGTGGAAGGAAAAAGAGCTGATTTTTTTTTTGCTTCTGGCCAAACGTATTTTTTCCACTGTTGTTCTAGCAGCATACAAGCATTTACATAACACAGATTGTGCAGTATAGATTCCACTGCCTCCTATTAGGCTGTTGATTGGGCTGATTTGGAAATGGGGCTGTCTTTGCAAGGAGAAACTGCTGTCTGGATTCCTGTCTGGGAGAGGTCATAGATCTAACCCTCTGATTTACTCCTGTAAAGCCTCTTAGCAGAATATGGCTGGAATCCTAAAGCAGGTGTGCATCTGAGTACAGCATGGTTCATAGATGGCACTTAAATTGATTATGTGGCCATTTTGTGAAGTTGAGAGAATGAGTTAGACCACTGCACTGTAAATATCTTCATATGAATGTTGATTTGCTGTAACTGTAGGAATTGTGTTTGATTTTGTTAAAGCAATTTAGAAAATTTACTGAAAATGTGTCAGTCATAAGCCACTGTTTTTAAAATTGTGTACTTAAACAATTGTGAATTTTTTTTAACTAGAGGAAGAGAACAAAAGTATAAATTTCTAATGAATCCAACTTTCTTAAGGTGTAACATTTGTTTGTGATTTTTTTTTGGTTTCTCTTTCAGCATTTAATTTTCACCAGTTATCAGGATCTCATATATAGTTAATACTGATGATTCTTTTTAATCCTACCTCTGAATCCAGAAATATATGCACTAAACCAGAGGATATGTGTAAGAGAACAGACCCATCAGATATAAGTGGTCATTAGACTCTGTTTTGCAACTGTTTTGATCTAGATAATGAGAAAGACGTTTACAGACTAATTTTTTTTTTCAGAGATGTATGAAAATAGGGGAAAATAGGTTTAAAAATATCAGAGTTAAATCTATCCACGTCATGTCTCAGTATAATACTGAAGCTTTTTTTTTACAGCATTTATTGTACCAATAGTTCTTGCAGAAGACTATGTACAAGACTGCAGTTGTTAAAAGCAGAAATTTCTGGGTTGCTTAAGATTTGTGGTGGATACCTTTTCAGACAAGTCTGCTCTCCCCACAAAAAAACTGAGAAAGATTCTGTGCCTGCATCCTAAGGAGAAAAAAAGCCTTCCAAAGGCACCACTGCTATTCTGTAAGAAGATGAGATTCATGGATCTTGCCTCTACAAATGGCAAAAGTTTTAAAAAGGGCTTCCCCAGGGTGTTTGTTTCTGCTCTGTCCTAGCACCTGAAATTGCCTTTTTCTCATTCAAGATCCATAAGAAATTCCCTGTGCTGGGTAGCTGCAGGGCTGAGGACTACACATGCAGTCTTTGTTTCTTTTGGACAGAAGATTCTAAAAAGTGATGCAGGCATAAGGCCCACGTGTGTATCAGTCTTCAGCTGGAAGAGAGGCAGCATTCATATCTCAAGTGTTCATCTTTTTACACAATCTACATTGTGTTAATGTTAACAATCTCAAGATGTTACAGCATGTTACTGTTACTGGTAATTATTTGTATCTTATGTGAAGAAATTGGTAAACTCAGTAAGGGTTTCACATACGGGCCTTTTCTGTAACAAATCTGCTTCCTCATCATGACAATGGTTGGATTCTGAGCCAGAATCTTCACTTGTATTTGCTTTCCTGGTGTAGGACAAGGATCTTCACCTACAGATGTAAGCCTGCCAGAGTTCAGGAAGTGTTTGGACAATGCTGTCAGGCACATGGGGTGATTCTTGGGGCTGTCCTTGGCAGGGTCAGGAGACAGATTTTGACAATCTTTGTAGTCCCTTTCCAGCTCTGGATATCCTGTGATTTCAATTTTCTTCACTTTTATTTATTGTTCTTTTTTCAAGTATCCTCAAATCATGGATTGTCTCTGTGCTATCAGAGCTGCTTCTGGGATAGTGTGAAGAAGATGCCCCAACTGAGAGAGCGGCACTGGCTACTGCAGTATGACTGCAGCATGTTTTGTGGGGGGCACACAGCACTGCTCAGAGCAGGTGAAGCAGGGGTTAGCACCTCTTGGCTCCCCAGCTGCTAAATGCCTGTTTGGGATTGTTAGAACCAGGGTGTGAGCAGTCAAGCCTAGCAATGAAGCTTGGACTCAACTTGTGGTGCAGGTGAATGTCATTTCCTACAGCAGACTGGCATGAAGCCACAGAGCAAAAAGAGCTGAGGACATGCCAGGTACAGTGAAGGGGAGGATGGTGTCAGCATGGCAAGTGACAGTGTTCTTGGTCAGACAGGCCAGGGAACAGGAATGGTTGGAAGGGGAAAGGAAATGAGCAAGGCCCAGGGTGTGTGTTAGGGCTGGAGCTGTACGAGATTGGACTGTGAATGAAGGCAAGGTACTTGCCTTCACATACACCCAAGGTACTGGGTGGTGCCATGTTCTCCAGGTGTTTCTGTGCAGATGGACTGAGAATGAGCCCTGGTTGTGGAATGGCATCAATTCCCAGTATTCAACAATAACCTGGCCTGAGGAATGCCATTCTCCCCAGTGGGCCACAGCTCATCACATGGATTTCAGGAAATCATGGAGTGAGTCAGGTTAGAAGAGACCACACCAGATCATCTGGTCTAACCTCCCTGCTCAAGCAGGATCATCCCAGAGCACATGGCACAGGATTGTGTCCATATGGTTCTTGAATATCCATAGTGAGGGAGGCTCCACATTCCCTCTGGTCAACCTGTTCCAGTTCATGGTCCCTGGAAGTTGTTCTTCATGTTCAGGTGGAACTTCTGTTTTGCCCATTGTCTCTTAGTCCCATTGCTTGGCACCACCAAGAAGAACCTGGTCCATCTTTTTGATACCCTCTTTTGGGTACTTACAGACACTGATAAACCACAGGTAATTGTAGCCTGAGCTAAACATCAGGTAGACACTATCTTCCACCTGTGCAGAACAAGGACATGGAGCAGCCTGTGATCACATCACAGTGAAGAGTTTGGGTGGAAATCTCTCATTTTTGCCCTTGGATTGTTATGCACAAGACACCTAGGGTGGGTTGAAATTCCCCTTTCCTCCAGAAGCAGTATTGTAGAGAATTGTATCTTCTCTAGTGCACAAAATTGTTCTGACAACTTATCATTGCTTATTTAACAGCTGACTGTTCTCACTTTCTTTAGGCACTAGATAATAAAACACAGTGAAACAATTATTGTGCTTCACTCATGTGCTAACCCTCATAGCCTCTTTACTGTTGAGTTCCAAAAACCAGCTTCATTTACTGTTAATTGAGGTTTGACTTCAAGAGATTATATAGGATGACAATTCCTCAGTCACAAGAGCAAAAAAATCAAAAGCCACAGTGATAGTTGGACTGCAAGAAGATCACAGGAGAGATCAAGAATACTAGAAATATCCTAGGTATTTTCAAACATAAAGACTTTGCTCACTGAAAAATTATGTTCCACTGTGTTTACAGTTGTGCATTATGGAGGTCCATATTAACTCTCCATTCCTTGGGTTTATTTAAGGTAAAACAGAATATTGTCCTTGCAGTTATCTCATGGAGCAGGTGGCATGAAGTTTAATTTCCCTTAGTTGTCCTTTATGTCTGTTTAATAGGTCTAAAGCTGTCCAATGATGGTTTGCCACATCCTGGGCTAGCAGAACTAGGTCTCTTCCAGCTCATGTTCACATGCTCAGAAATGTAAGTCACAAGCATCCCAATTAGGGGTGCAGGTTACTGTGTAATTCATCCTTGAAGGAAAACCAGCAAGACAAATAGATCCATCGCTCTAAAATTAGTTGTAAAAAAGTTCAGAAAAATACCTCATGGTTTTTATAGAATTCTGAAAGTTTGTGCTTGGGCCTGGAAGTGGTTTTAAGGAAAGGTTGAGTTTACTTGACATACAAAGGCACACGGTGGAGTCCTTCAAAAGCTGATTCAAATAAGAGCAGATCTTGGGCACTGGGTCTGATGGAGCAGAAGGTCTGTTCCGCACCTTGCTTGCAGACAACCCTGTGTGTTACTGCTCTCTTGCTGGAGAAACTACTGAGCTGTGCTACCCAGACACCTATCCAAGTGGTCAGCTGGGATCTCCATCAGAGCAGGACTCTTCTTTTTTTAAGCAGAGTGGCAGTGTTGGCTGTGTGCTCTCAGAGGACCCATTCTGGGAGCAGCTGTGCTTCAGGAAGCTGCTGGGCCTTATCAGCCCCTAGGAGGATGCTGAGAGCAGATAAAATTGAAACAGCTTGCTGGGAGTTCTGTGGCACTGCTAATAACTTGGCTCAGTTTATCACCTGGGCTCAGGTTGGCCTTGTGCAATCTCTCTTGGAAAGTGCTGGCAGCAGTGGTGTGCAGCCACAAAGGGATAAGTGACATGCATATTTATTTTAAGATTGCCAGTAGCAAAATCCATCTGATTTCTTTAGTTTGAACATACAGCTGGAGCTGAGGGAAGTCAGGCAGTACAGCAGACAATGGAAACCTGACCTGCTAAAGTTTAAAAAAAAACAAGTGTGCTTTTCCCATTTTTTATTCTGTATGGAACACAGAATGATTTGGGTTAGAACGGACTTAGAGGATGATCTAGTTCCAACCGCTTGCCATGGGCAGGGACACCTTCCACTAGAGCTGGTTACTCAGAGCCACATCCAACCTGGCCTTGCACACTTTCAGGGATGGGACATCCACAGCTTCTCGGGGCATCCTGTGCCTGAGCCTCACCACCTTCACAGTAAATGTTGCACTTACCATCTATAGAGAAACTGGAGCTATGGACGGCATGGCTGGATAGTCTCCTTGCATGGGGAGCAGAAGACGTGAGCTCCTGCACCTATGGAATTGAGAGTGTCTGAAGCCTTAGCTACTTTGCTGGACCACAAAAATCACTGCATTTAAAGGTTTTTTTTGTTTTTTTGGTCTGCTTTTCAAGAGAAAATTATTACCTTATTTACACAGGTATGTTAAAATATTATTTCATTTAATTTATAACAAACCCAAAAATATTTGCCCCCAAAAAGAACCTCCAAACCCTAAAACTAAAAATACCTGGGTTTTTTTTTCTGTTGCTTGTTATGAAAAAGATTCCAAATCACACAGCTCCAACCACTAGAAAAGTCACACTGCTGATCAAAAAGTGAGTCCTTCACTCTGCCAGCATCTCTTTAGTACAAATGCATTTTCCTAAAAAGCCCTGTTAAGTTTAGCATCCTTACAAGAGCCTTGGAACATCAATACTTGTCTTGTGTTCTGCTGACCTTCCTTCAACCCTAAAATAGCTGTTCCTACCGCAGCAGAAGTTTCTATGTACAGAAAGACATTTGATGCCAGCTACATTTGAAGAAAATAAACTATATTTAAAGCTATTAGTCAGTATCACAGATAGGTCCTGCCCTCCCCCATCCCCCTGGGATGGTTTGCCCTTTTTAAATGGAGTTGGTTTGGATAGAGTATGTGTTTCTTGCATGCCTGTTCTGTCTCCCACAGATGCTATTTAACATATCCTCTGTTAATTAAAGGAGAGGTCAGTGTATTTTATCTGTTCATCTAGGTGGAGCTGTCAAAGTGGATTTGGAGCTGGATTTGAAGACCATTTTAATTTGTAAATTTGGTGGATGCATGCCTGCAGGTGAGTCTGAAAGCAACCACACACCAACCTCATTTAGCCTTTCTAAAAATTAAAATTTGATTGTCCATTATTTAAAATAGGCTTCCTATAATACTTTTGGTTTTATTTAGGTTTTTTTTATTTAGGGTTTATTTGTGGAGAGTCAATGTTTAGTCTGCATGTTGTCACAAAAATTGCAAAGTCTCAAAACTCACCACAAAAAAATCATACAACACAAATGTGGTTTTGAAAAGCAATCCAATTCCTTCTGTCCTCTCGGGTTTTTTTATTGGGTAATGCAATATGGGTGCTTTTCTTTCCATCTTAAGCCCATAAAGTAGTCAGCTTTTGGTGGTGTATATGTATATATGCATGCGTTTTTATTTATTGTTGAACATCTAAGAAATCAACCTTGGTTTGAAAATGTTGTGCTTTGCATTGATACTCAAATACTTTGTTTTGTCAGGTTCCCCAAGGTTGCCCCAAACAAATGTCTGAAGGCATCTCAGGGTTAGCAATATAATCAGTTCTAACCAGTTTGTTTCCATTCCTGATTGCTTACTTTTTCCCATGAGAAAATCTTTTTGGGATAGAATTTAACTTGTGGAAGGGAATGGAAGCTCTATTCCTGCAAAATATGAAGGTTCCCTGACTTGCTATTCTTATTTCATGCTCACCACAACCTATTATAGATGCATGCATGGATTTTTCTGTTTTCTTTCCTGGCAGGTTTCCACTAAAAAAAATGGAGGCATTGCTTTTGATACATCCTCTGGACTAAAAGTTTCCTGGCATCAGTGAAATAAAGTAGGAAGGTACACAGTGTCCCAGCCCTAGATTAAGTTGTGATAATTAGCTGTTGAAGCTTTTAAAGTTGGTTGATTTGTTGTTGGTTTTTTGTTTTGTTTTTGTCTTTTTTCTTTACATTATTTATCTTGGCTTAGTTTTCTTTCTTCTTTCCTCATCTATGTTTAGTGACTGGAAAATGACCTGGTGTAAGGCACCTTAAAGGAAGTTTCTTCTAACTGTTCATCATCAGTGCTTCCTGCTGCTCTCTAAGTCCCTTGCTATCACACAGATGGTGCATCCCTTAGTGCATTTGAGTTCTCAGTTTTTTGTTTGCCAAAGCTCAGTGAAAAATGGGCTTCTACTGGATAAGGGCAAGTTCTATTGGGAGCATAGAACCATCACCGTTCCTCCTGGGGTTCTGTTTCAGCCCAGTATATCAGGCAGGTTTCTGGAGAATGTGTGGTCATAAATGGGGTCCCCTCTTGAAACAACCAACCCCTGGTGCCTGGTGGGCTGTACTGTATCAAAGGGCTATGCACTTTGTGCAAGGGCACTTGTGGGGTTACTGTGCACGGAGGGAGTGAGCTGACTCAGCAGCCTCCCCCTGCTCCAATGTGGGCACATCCCTACAGCCTGGTAAAAGAGGCCTCCACATGCTGGGTGGTGCCAGGTGGCATCCCCAGAGGTACTCAGTGGAGCTGGAGAGCAGCCTTGTATGTGCCAGTGACCAGCTGCAGCCTGCTTTAGCTTTTGCTGTGACCCTTCTGCTGAGGGCTGGCTGCTTGCCTTCTCTGGAAAATAATGTTACTTATTTTGGTCTTGAAACTCCAGTAATTCTTTTGCTGTCTTTTGCACTGTGCTGGGACATGTGGGGTTTTCCAGTGTGAAAGGCTTTCCTACAGTGTTGGTTGTGCCTGTACTGTCATGGAAGCTTTTGATTAATGTGTCACCTGCATACCAAATATCTACCTCTTACAGATGATATACTGAGAAAAAAGAAAGAAAGATGCAAAATCAATTTGGGATATAGGACGTCCCAGGCTGATTTGGTTAGAGTCAATTTATTTATGTCTAATCCCAGAAGTTGTACCTTCAATCTTCACCCCATAAGGAAATTAAAAGTCTTGGCACTTATCAGTGCCAAAAAATAAATAACTGACCAAGATTCTCTCTTCAGACCTGTCCCAAGTGAAGTTTTGTGCATCATTTTTTTTTGATTGTTTCATTTATATATGTGACTGGAACCAGTCCCTGCCAGTGGTATGGCTGAATAGAAGGGACCCTTCCATAAATTGCATGGAACAAGCTCAAGCCAGGCAGGGACACAAAGGTGACATGAAGGTTTGACACTGATCAGCTTCTTGAAAATTCTGTGTGTGCGATCAGTCACTGAGAAAGAATAACTATGGTAAGCAAAATCTTTCAAGCTGCTCTTCTCTAAGATACTCTGGCAAATTTTGCAACAGGGACTAAACAAGTGGCAAAACAATCACATGGAAAGGAAATCTCTGGGAAGCTTTTGAGGTGGTGTTGTGGTTTAGGAATGGTACTCCTCAGTTCAGTGCCCTCACCCCCAAACCACACACGGCTCTCTCTCACTCCCCCATTTTCCCTTTGGTTTTGCCCAAATTTGGGTATTTTGAGCAACATTCTTTTAATATCCTTTTGATGGATCAAAATAAATGGAAAAAAATGCTTTTCATGTATTACCAAAAAATAAGCAGGTGCATTTCCACTATGTTTTGCAAGAGCACAGCTGAAATCCCTTCTCTGAGAACTGGGCTGCTATGGTTCAGCCCCAGGCACCAGCCTG